GGTCACATGTAGCCCTACACCCTTACACTTCTGGTCACATGTAGCCTACACACCCTTATCACTTCTGGTCACATGTAGCCTACACCCTTATCACTTCTGGTCACATGTAGCCTACACCCTTATCACTTCTGGTCACATGTAGCCTACACCCTTATCACTTCTGGTCACATGTAGCCTACACCTTATCACTTCTGGTCACATGTAGCCTACACCCTTATCACTTCTGGTCACATGTAGCCTACACCCTTATCACTTCTGGTCACATGTAGCCTACACCCTTATCACTTGTGTTCACATGTAGCCTACACCCTTATCACTTGTGTTCACATGTAGCCTACACCCTTATCACTTGTGGTCACATGTAGCCCACACCCTTATCACACTTGTGGTCACATGTAGCCCACACCCTTATCACTTGTGGTCACATGTAGCCCACACCCTTATCACTGGTCACATGTCACCCTTATCACTTGTGGTCACATGTAGCCCACACCCTTATCACTTCTGGTCACATGTAGCCCACACCCTTATCACTTCTGGTCACATGTAGCCCACACCCTTATCACTTCTGGTCACATGTAGCCCACACCCTTATCACTTCTGGTCACATGTAGCCCACACCCTTATCACTTCTGGTCACATGTAGCCCACACCCTTATCACTTCTGGTCACACTTCTGGTCACATGTAGCCCACACCCTTATCACTTCTGGTCACATGTAGCCCACACCTTATCACTTCTGGTCACATGTAGCCCACACCCTTATCACTTCTGGTCACATGTAGCCCACACCCTTATCACTTCTGGTCACATGTAGCCCACACCCTTATCACTTCTGGTCACATGTAGCCCACACTATTACATCACTTCTGGTCACATGTAGCCCACACTATCACTTCTGGTCACATGGTCACATGTCACAGTAGCCCACACCCTCTATCACTTCTGGTCACATGTAGCCTACACCCTTATCACTTCTGGTCACATGTAGCCTACACTCTCTATCACTTGGTCACATGTAGCCTACACTCTCTATCACTTCTGGTCACATGTAGCCTACATTCTCTATCACTTCTGGTCACATGTAGCCCACACCCTTATCACTTCTGGTCACATGTAGCCATGTACACCCTTATCACTTCTGGTCACATGTATCACCCTCTATCACTTGGTCACACGTGGCCCTATACAACTCACTGCTTTCCAGATGCATCTGTTTACATAATTCTCCTTGGCTTTAAAGAGAATACTTCATAAAACTCTGCATCTCTTGACTCCATCTTCGCCAATATTTTTCTGCTGTTTACATGTCTGGCATGAATATATCATTGGTCTACAATCAGAATGTTATCTGTAGATGAGCCATGATTTCCTTTCACTGCGCTGATGGACAAAAGCCTGAAATAGCTGTATGCGTTTGGAATACACAGCTCCTATAGAGGTATTTTTGCACCATACATTAGTAATCCTGGATGTGCATGTTGGCGTGTAAAGAAATTCCATTGAATGAATGTTGTGTGGTATTTAGTCAGGTAAGGGGCCACACTTGGGGCCCAATTCATCAAGTAAGTTGACCATGACTTAAGTAAACAGAAGCCACGGAGCAGCAGATCAGTGTGGAGGGAGCACATTGACCTCTTCATGTAACATACCGAATCCCATATAGCCTGACAGCGGAATGGGTCTACACTGGAAGTGCACTTATCCTTTTAAATGGGGTCCAGCCTGCTGACAAGGTTACTTTTTGATTTTATCTGACAAGAAAAGTGAGCACACTTCCCACGATGTATAGGAATATATAGAAGCCTTAGCAGAAGAGAGGAATGGTTTTGCTAAATTTGAATTTTTTTTTTTTTTGTTTATGCTATGATTAGGGAGATTCTTTTCACTTCCTGTCCTGTAGACTCAACCAGAAGTGAGAGGATATCTTTCTAATGTGTTACTTTCTTTCCTCGTGTCATTGTTGATGAGCACAATTAGAAAGTGAATTGCCCCAATGGAGACCAGACAGCAATACAAACCTGACAGAGGTTCTAACACCCTCGTCATTCTATCCAAATCTAAACCTAAAGTTTTTAACCTTTATTTAACAATAAAGCCCAGTACACGCCACTATTTTTTATTTTATTTTTTTTCGTTCAACCTACTGGGCCGAACCAAAAACAGCCTGACAGATCGACATACCAACATAAGTGATGTTGGTGCGGTGATATCCCATGGAGTTCCTTTTGTATTCTGATAGAGAGCTTCCCCCTCCATCTCCCCATTGGCTGCAAGCGCTGATCAGACACTGGTTTCCCATCTCTGGGGCTGAGGAAGAGGAGACTGCTCCTCGAAACACGTCCGCCACAAGAGGGTCGAGAAAAGCTGGTTTGTTAGAATGGCTTCTGTCAAGACAGGCTGCTGTACACTTTGATGGAATGTCGGCTGGTTCCTGCGGAACTGGCTGATTTTTGGACAGTGTGTACCCGTCATAAGTGAAACAAACACAGAATGAACAGGTGTATGTAATGTAATTGGCTTCCGTCACTCTTCTGCAGACCATTTTGTGTTCTGCCTTTTGCTTTCTCTTCCTATACATTTTATAGATTGCATTCCTTATGGTGGTAACCTTAGGGTGTGAGAAAGGTGTGGTATATACTTTTATTTTTTGGTCTGTTAAATATACTGTTTGAAAGGTGTTTTTCCTCGTTCTATCTGCTTGATAAGTGCAAAAACACTCTTGCCAGAAAACGTGAGATGTCAGAGTACTATACTCCCAGTGCTATCTGTGATATGTAGAAGATGAACAGGGAGGTGTTCTGTAGTCCCTGTTCTGTGTTGACAAAGCTGCTTCACTGTAGGGACAGCAAGTGTTACCTGGATCACCAGGCGAAAGTAAGGCATTATGCACACTGGACATTTGTACAGCTGCTGTTTTTGGCATCAGGCTTTTTTTTTTTTTTTCCAGCTATAAAGATGTTCCAATGTTGAAAAACGCATCTATCTGGCATTTTTGAGTTTAAGACTCAAGATTTTTTTTTTTAAGCAATCTTTTTGAACTTCCATTTTTGTACAGTAAATTCCTACATTTCCCAGTGTACTTTGCTGCTTTTGTCTGACCTGCTGTGTGCAAACAGGAACATTTCCCAATGTGATTCGCTGCCTCATTGTCTTCAGCTGACTGAACTGTGTGTAAACAGCAAATTCCTTTTATGGAATTTTCCCAGTGTGTTCCCTTGCTATAAAACGCTAATGTGGCAAAGAGGTTGCAAAAGTCGTGTTTTTAATTCGGCAACACTACTGCCTTTTTTATAACGTCCAATGTGCATAAGGCCTAAAGGGATAAAACCTGAAAAAAAGAAAACTAATTCAGTCACCACATCTAAGGACTGATGTGATGCGCTTATATGTGTGTATGTATATATGGTCCTGTGGCCAAAATTATTCAACCCCCACTGAAATTGATGTTTTGGCCAGTTTGACATTGCTTTTGATCATTCAGTCATCTTGCTTACATTTACATTAAAGAGGCACTTGTAGGTCAGACAAATATAACATAACAGTTATAATGAAATAACCACAAATGTCTTTTCTGTGCTCACAGCATTATCAGTTTTATTCAACCCCCAAGTGACATAAATCTTAGTACTTAGTACAGCATCCTTTTTTTTTATAACAGCTTTTAAACGTGAAGCATAGCTTGACACAAGTGTCTTGCAGCGATCTACGGGTATCTTCGCCCTTTTCTTCATGATAAGGCCTCCAGTTCATACATTTTATGGCTTGCACTGCAACTTATGGTCTTTAAGTCCCACCTTGGGGATTTAAGAAAGGTGACTGCGTATGGCCACTCCAAAATTTCCAGCCTTTGGTCTGCAACCATGCTCTGTTTGGAGGTATGTTGGGATCATTGTTCTGAAAGGTCAACGTCTGCCTCAGGTGTGCACTGACTGCATCACGTTTCCATCCAATATCTCCTGGTACTGAAGAGAATTCATGGTACTTGCACACGCTGTGCTATCCCTGTACCTGCAGAAGCAAAACAGCCCCAAAGCATGATTGACCCTCCACCATTGCAAAGCTTCACAGTAGGCAAGGTGTTTCTTTTCATCATAGGCCTTGTTCTTCCTCCTCCAAACATAGCGTTGATCCATGGGCCCATTAACAGTTCTAATTTTGTTTCATCACATTCCACAGAACACTATCCCACAACTTTTGTGTGTTTTTTGTCCATCATGGCTTTTGGCATACTGCAGTCGACTCTTCTTATTCTTTGAGATGACCAAGGGGTACGCCTGGGAGTTCTGTGCACGGAATTACGCAGTGTGCGTCTTATTGTCTGCTGAAAGTCCTTCTGTTTGACAAATCTTTTCTCAGTCAGCAGACTCAAGATTTCTCTCCACTCTCACGCTTCAGGTAGCGCAAGCAGTCGAAGTCATGCACATCTTCTTTCTGCCACGACCAGGTTTTTCAACAGTGCCCTTTTTTGAATTTACAGCGAATGATGCTTCCTAAGGTGTCTCTTGGTATGTTTAAACATCTTTGCAATCTTCTTATAGCCATTGCCCTTCCTGTGTGCAAGAGAAATCACCTCTTCTTCTTGTCTTCCGGACCATTCTCTTGCCTTCACCATGTTTGTAACCACACCAGTACTTTGTCTAGAAGGAGCTGAGTATGCAAACAGGTCATTTTTAAAGCTGCCTCATTGTCTCAGCTGACTGAACTGTGTGTTATGCTTGATTCCTTTTATGGAATTTTCCCAGTGTGTTTTCTTGCTATAATACGCTAATGTGGCAAAACGGTGCAAAAGTCGTGTTTTTAATTCGGCAACACTACTGCCTTTTTTATAACGTCCAATGTGCATAAGGCCTAAAGGGCAATGAAAAACCTGAAAAAAAAGAAAACTAATTCAGTCACCACATCTAAGGACTGATGTGATGCGCTATATGTGTGTATGTATATATGTATGTATATATAATTATATTATATTGTATTATTTTTTCCTGTGGTATGGACTTTCATGCTTTGTCTTATCTTTTCAGCTTCTCTGAATGCTCTGGAAACTGGTGCCACCAGCCAAGACGTCTTATGATGGTGTTCAAGGTGGCAAAATGACTCTGGAGTGCAAGTACACTGTAGGGCCAGAGGACACTGGAACACTGGACATAGAATGGTTTCTAGTGGCAGCGGATTCCCAACAAGCTGACCATATGGTATGTACAGTGTAATCTAATCATCTGCAATATTGTGTGTACAGTGGTTTGTGGTGTTCTGTGTACTGTTACCTGGTATCACTAGACTAGTGTTGCTTATTTTTTCCTTTGATAGAATTTTTTTTTTTTTTTAATTCACTTGCAATGTGCCTTTGAACTTGTTGGATAACTTGACTGCTCCAGACACAGCCCCCTCCTTCCTTGTATCTCATAGCCCTCTCACTCTTTTAGGGAGTTTTTTGTTACTCTGTGCTGGCCCAGCTCCTCTACAGCTCCTTGTACCTTCCAAACAAAGAAAACTGTCACGCAGAGGACGGAGGAGGAGAAAAGAGGAAGACTATAGTGTTGCTTGATTGAAAACCCTGAGTCTGCTGAAGTTGCTGACATTGCATGGCAGCACCCAGCATTAGACCCCAGATCTCTCCTCTGCCCCCAAAAGTATTTAATCAGAGATTGGTTTGATAAGAATGCTTTACAAGCCAGGAACAGCTTTTTAAACCACATACTGAGATCGAAAGTGACAAAATCCTCATTACTTCCGGTTTTCTACACCACAGAGATGATTTGTGAACGGATGTTCCTCTTTCATTTCTATGATGTGCCGCATCGACCGGTGGAACAGGAAAGCCGGTGAAGGCAGCAGAAGGAGAGGGAGCATCTGCAGCTCTAAAAATAAATTGGGGTCATGACTGAATCCCATGAATGTACAGGTATGTCCAGGGCTGTGGATAAGGAGGTACCACCAGTCCTCCTGTACGGGGCCCAGGCAGCTGGGCGAATCACATATGGGCAGGGAGGGTGATCGGAATGGTGGGGGGGGGGGGGGGAAATTACTGGAACCGATCCCCTGTATGGCTCTCTGCAGCAACTGAAAGCTGGCTTCTTTTCCTCTCCCTCCCACTGGCTTTCAGCTGATGTAGAGAGAGCCATACAGGGGATTGGTTCAAGTAATTGCCCCCCGCCACACCCATCTCCCTCCCTGTGCACCATACATGCCCCCCTACCGCTGCAGTACTTCCAGCTTCCCTCCCCTTTCCCACCAACAGCTGCAAGCACACAATAGGATCCAGCAGGATGGGGAGTGCCATATGTGGCAGTGTCACATTTACCAGCCCCTTTCCTGAATGAACACAATGCGTGATCAGTAGCACTAACTCACTGTATTCATTCCTTGCTGAAGCATAGTAAACAGTTGTGTTTTTTTTTTTGTGGGGGGGAGGCCCTGTCAGGTTGGCTGTATGGGGCCCTGTTGTTTCTAACAGCAGCCCTGGGTATGTCCATTTGTGGGAAGTGGTAAAAGAATAGGTCCCCTCTCATGCAAAGTGCTCCAACCTGCCCTGCTTTGATTATATTAATATGTGATTATTATGATGGCTGTGTTCAGGAAGATCATTTTTTTAGGACACATTTCATGATATAAGGTGTTTATATCATGCAATCTGCGACCAGAGCACTTGTGGCCACTGAGTGGCCTGTCACTGGTCAATAGCTCTTTCTTGCCTTGTTAAAGCCGAAGTCCCGCAAAAACCACAAAAAATCAGCAAAAGGGACATAGCTTACAGTCAGTAGGATGTGTCCCTTGTGCTGATTTCTCTTCTGTTAGTGAAAATCTTCCTCTGTCCTGCTCCCTAGCTCTGCAGCCATAATCTTTCTGTGCAGCGAGGGATAGTACAATTAATGGGCTGTCAAAGTGCTCTCATTAAAAAAGCCTGACTATGCCTATGACTATGACTATGACTATATTCCGACCAAATGCTCCATTCATAAAAGACGTACTACAGCTTCTAACAGTGGAATGTGATTGAAGCAACCGAAGCTGTAATCTACACTACTCTGTATGGGAATTGGGTTGTGTGATGCTTATATCCTTTGGATGTATTTCTGTTGCCATGGATGAGCTTACCTGAACGCCGGCACATGATCAGTATTTTGGACTTTTTTGGAAAGTTTCATAGTTCTTCGAGCAACACTCCACGTTCTTTATGCATAGGTCGCAGCTTTAGACTGTGCCGTAAATGTGATGTTAAAGTATATACTTACTGAGCTTCAAAAAGGGCAAATTGTTGGTGCCCGCTTAGCTGGTGCCTCTGTGACCGAAGTTTGCACTTTATTTGCCATGTCACGCTGTACAGTATCAAAGGTTATCATGGCAAGTACAGTTTCCGGGAAACCGTTGCCTGATGAGTATAAACGCGGTCGACATGGTCAACTGACAGAAAGAGACAAACGGACATTGGGCAGGATTGTGACCCAGAATGAGAAAACAACTGCAAAAGACCCGTGGTTGCAGGAAAGAAAATCGCATCATCTATGGCTGACTTAAGATGAGCCTCTATTGTGTGTCAGAGCTGTGTAAATCTCAGAACTGGTTGAATACAGATCCTTTGCTAGGTAAAACAGTTCCCTCATATATACTGCATTTAAGCTTTGCGTTTATTATAATACAGGATTTATATAGCACCAACAGTTTGTGCTGCCCTTTACAACATGAATATAGAAGTTTGTGTTTGTGTAGTGTTTTTTTTAACAGATATCAGAAGTCAGTTCAGAGTTCTGTGATTTAGGGCTCATGTACACTGCAGCTGATAAACTCACGTTTAGGAGCTGTTCAGCATTTTTTTCAGCAGCCCCCAAAATCTCCCTAATGTTTTCCTATGTGTCCATGTACACATCTTCGCTTACAGACATTTAAGTTTACAGTCGTTTTTTTTTTTTTTTTTTAACACAGAAAACTTGCGTTCAGCAGTCTATTTTATCAGCGTTTCAAACGCAAAACGCTTGTAAACGCTGCAAATCGCGTTTATAAGCGTTTGGACAGCATTGGGAACTGGAAGAGTTAAAAAAAAATTTCAGACGCAGAGTCTTTTTTTTCATCATGAAAAATGCATGCAACGTTTTCAAAGTACTCAGTTGGACAAAACACTTAACACAGGATGTTCCTACCAAGCTTGTCACACATTGTAATGACCAATTCACGTCTCAGACCTCTCCCACCCTTGGAAACAAAATATATGTTAATGACCATTCACACCTCAAATTCCTCATGAAGACCCCCTGCCAGGTAGCCTTAATGACTCCCTCCACCAGACACCTTTCCCACCCTTGTAAACAAAAGAAATGTTAATGAGCAACTCACACCTAATTAATTCAACACATACTGCTATCTCTTCTTCTACTCTGTGTATTTCTCTGAAACAGTCTGAAATAGTTAATAATTTACCATTTTTCAGTACATTCTGGGCATTTGGGAGGTTCTCCTGTGCTTATCTTTAAAAAACACTTCTAAACGCAAACGCGCATTAACGTGCCATGCAAACTTGGCTAAACAGATGTTTTTTGACCTACGTTTTCCAGCAGTCAGTTTCCTTCATTCAGAAGTGTCCCGTGTACATGGGGCCTTATGAAAGTGTTTGATCTTGACTTGCAGGCTCAGGCATTCATGAATTTTTTTTTTTGGATTTCTGTTAATCACTGTATTCTACTGTTCATTATGCTTTCGACTGATGTACAGTATGAGAAATCCTATATTCCCACAGATATTTGTCCTTTCTCTCGGTTATACTGTAATGGGAGTGGCCTTCTTGGCAGGCTGCCGTGTTCGGGATGGACGCTTTCAGGCATTTCTCTTCTATCTTTTACCAGGAAGCTGGTTGATATGGAGAGTGAACTTTAACCTGCTATGATAGCAATAATTCTGTCCACATATAGCTATGGGTTGGGGCAACACTGTAAGCGTATCTACGTATTCAGCTCATCACTGCAATATGTACTGAGACTGCTAATGCTAACTTTATACATCAATCAGCCAGAACTTTATGACCACTGACAATATAACTGACATTGGATCATCTCATTTTTAAGTTCTTTTACTAGAAGCTGGCATCTTGCACAGCTTGTCAGCATTTTCTTTGCAGTCTGTTTCATCATTTTTCTGCCGGGGCTGTGAGGTGGGTGGACTGGATAGTTTTTATCAACATTTGTCAATGGAAAGTAAAAACTTTTTTACTGTGAGAAGCTTTATCCCATATGATATTATTATTATTATAGGTTGTATAATTCCCTAAAACCTATTTATGGATGCAAGTGATATTACATTTTTTTTTCTGTGATATCACATTTTTTTCTCTGTTTGTATCAGAAAACTGTTTTACTGGTCCTTTCTGTTTTCAATCGAACCAGCATTGATTTTTTTTCTTTTCAGTTTTGGGTGAATGCCAAGGAGTTTAAGCACCTACCCTTTTCTTCTATCTCTTGATGGTTAAATCCTATATCTGGATTTCCAGCTCCTGATTCCAAGCACATGAAGCAAACAAGTCTTTTTATGCAGGTTTCATCCCTGAGGTTCATGAGAGATCTAGTCAGCCAGCAAGTGAATGAACCTGTTGTCCACTCAAAATAATCTGTAATGGGTAAACTTTGCTTAAGCATCAACAAAGACATTGCGTAAACAGAGTTCCCATTCTTATAAGTGTTGGTGAGAGGAGTCAGGCAAGATGAGCTATGCCAGACGTAGGCTACCATTGTTGGCCTTTGTTGGAAATTGACAGTTGATTGGCTGTTGTGCTGGTCCTTTTGGCTTCAATACTGTCATTCTCTGATCTGGAATCAGCATGGTACCTATAAAGTTGGACAGCTCATAGATAATTTGATTTTCTTTCGTTCTGCCATGGGTGGAAGGAAATCAACTTGCCAGATTCCCCAATCAACCGAGTAAGTGTTGATGGGGAGATGCCTCCCTCAAAGCTATTCTGTTCTGCTGGTGGGGAGCCTTCCTTGCCGACAGAATACAATGGCTACTAATGGCTATTGCCGCTGACAGTAATCAAATGTGAAAAATCAAAGAGGCTGGTTGTACGCAAAGTTGAACGATAGATCGACTTTGGTACAATCATCCTCCCCATAGATGAATCAAATTTCTGCCAGTCCCTCTGAACTGGTTGATTTTCGATCCATGTATGACTGGCTTTGGAGCGCTTGATCTGCATATTTGTTATTAGTTGCTCACACTTTGCAGTCTTTGAATTAGCATAACATTTTAACTACGATAGTCATCAGAAAGCAATCACAACCTTAAGTCCTCATGCACACTGGGCGTTTTTACAGCGGCTGGTTTTGGCTTTTGACGTTTTTTCTACAGCTAGTATACCCCCCAGCATATTATCCTATGTGTCCATGTACATACAAACTGTAAAATAAAGTTTTTTTTAGTTGGAAAACCGCTCTAATGCTGAAAAATGTGACAAAACGCGTTTTTGTTTTTTTTTTTTTAAAACGCCACAAACCGGCATTTTTGGACTTTTTTTTGGTAGGAAAGAAACGCTAAGCGCAAACGTGGGAAAATGCCGTTAAACGCTAATGCAAAAAAGCTGAAAACCTCATGTTTTTAATGTGACTTTACACACCTAACATTGCCAGCGGTATTAAAACACCCAGTGTGCATGGAGACTAGTTTTGCTCATTACAGACTCCCTTTAGTGCGGAACATTTATATTTGATAATAAATTGAAGCCTAAAGCCAATACTTTTTTGTACTATTGGTTAGAGTAGTAAGTGATTAGAACCTGTCAGGTTTTTATTGATTCCTGGGTCACCACTAGGGAAATTCTCCCTCTTTATATACATTCATGTGACTGTCACTTAAATAAAAGTGAGGGAGAATCCAAAATGTTGCGTTTGTCACAGCAACTGAGTGGAAAATCTTTCAAGGGGACACTTATTCCTTTGACAGCTGTCCTAAAGAGCGGATTTTCCTCCTGCCCTCATATTGTTTGTGCAAGACAAAGAAGTTAAGTAAAATCTCCCCATTGTTTCACACAGCAAAAAAAGAGAGGACTTAACCCTTCAACACAGTTCAGAATGGGAATTGGAAATAATTTGGCTCCTGAGCTGCAGTGAGCCTCTGTTAACCCCACATTTGTGCACTGTATGGCATAGACTCTCCTGAAAACACTGTACACGCTACGCTTGACCCCAATTGGGCCCACTTTTCTTCCAAAACACCTGCGTCAAATTCAGCCTGATCCCTCCTGTGCCCAAACTCTTTTCTTAATCTATGGCTGGATGCAAACTCACAAACTTTCCTACGCTGTATCAAAAATCATGAGCTTGGTACCATTACTGACTTGGGTGTGAATGATTAAATGTTTTTTCTTCTCTTCCCGTTTTGTAACAGATTATTAATTACAACACGGGTGTAGTGTACCAGCACACTGGACCACTGAAAGATCGAGTGCACTTTTCATCTAGTGACCCTGGAAGTGGTGATGGCTCTATAGAGATTACTAACCTGCAGGAATCAGACACTGGGACATATCAATGCAAAGTAAAGAAGCTTCCCGGCTCCCAGAACAGGAAGATGCGTCTGACTGTGTATAGTAAGTCTTGTCAGAGATTAATATGATGGCATGGCAACAGCTGTATGAAAATGATGGTGTCTCTTTTTTGGGTGGGCAGCTGAAGAGGATGAATGTTGGGATTTCGGGTCTGGAAATTTTGACGTTACAAATATAAACCTAATTTATTGTTTGTTTATACAGTTAAGCCAGGAAAGACCAGGTGTTTTGTTGATGGAAAACAGGAGATTGGAAGTGATTTTGCCCTTAAATGTGACGCCAAAGAAGGGTCTGCTCCACTTACCTACGCCTGGGAGAAGACCAGTGGGCTGGAGAAGCTTCCACCCTCAACACCAGGTGAGAGCCTTTCAGTTCTCTCTTCTGTATCATCAGCAGTGCTACAAGCGTGTAATGCTGTAGTCTGTCACTGGAACGTCTGAGATCTCAATTACTCTAGTTGTATGTTTTTCCTAACAACCAGTTTCTAAGGACTAATGCAGACCTGTCATAATGCAGGAAATATTGAACTAGGCTTAACAAGCAGTTACCTTTTGTGAAAACCAATCTTTTAATAGTGGAGCCTTGTCATGCCCATGTAAACCTTCCATCTCTCGCTTCAGATCTTGATGCTGCCTGGCACATTAAAGGACCAATAGATGGGCTAGAAAATTTTGATTGGGGAGGGGGGGTTCAGCAATTATAAAGTAAAATTGTGCTTATAATGCACACTAAAATATTATACACATTTTGTACAAATCACAAAATCACATTTAAACAAGCTTCTGTTAACCTCTGTAGCTATTGGCATTTTGGGGAAATTTTAATTTTTAAAGTTCACAACAGAGGCACTGAAATATCACCTTTTTCCTGTGAGAGTTGATGTAGGCAGCCTGCCACCACTCTAATGGAAATGCAGAGCAGATGTTTCTAAGATGTTAGAAACCGACTGAAAGCTAACTTCTGGGTCTTTGTTGTGATCTTTGAGAGTGAATAATTTCACAGTACAAGCAGCTAGGGGGTAAGGGGGGTGTTTTTTGGTTAAAAGCTTGTTTCTCTGGAAAGTAAAAACCAACCCTTGCAGTGGGATTGCCCCCCCCCCCCCCCCCCATACTGCAAGGGTGAATGCTTGTTTAGGTCTCGGGGACAGGAAAAGCATGTTTTTACCTGAGTATCCAGTGCAGTCATGTGGCTCTGCATCATAGTTAATGCCATTGGGGAGCCTGCCAGAACAGAAAAGAAGGGGCTGCAAGGATTGGTTTAGCAGCTTGGAGGGAGCCTGCCAAGGATCAGGTAGGAAAAATATCCTTTCCTAGTCTTCTAGACCTAAACAAGCATTTAACCTTTCAGTGCAGGGGCAGCCCCACTGCAAGGGAGGACATTTACTTTCCTAGGTGCACTTTAAACTCCATGTTTACAGAAAAAGTATCTCGGAAATGCTTTGACATACTGCTACTTCATGACTAGATTTTTATCATCCAGCTTAAAATGTGCAGACTTGCAACACATGTAGGGAAGAATCTGCCTAGATTTATCCCCTAATTTTGGGATTCACAGAGGTTTTGCACCAGTCTGTGTTTTTTATCTGTAAAATCCCTGGTAGGGATAATTTTGGAGGGTGGATATTGATGATGTTATTGATTTTTCACTACATGAGGTCCTGATTGAGGACCAGTTTGTCATTTCACGTTGCTTTGCACTACGTTTTTTTTGTGGCACTAATTAGATCCTTATTGGATCATATCACTATAGTTTTGCTCATCTGCATGTTTAATTAATTTATGTAATAATAATTATCACATATTATGGTATATACATTTTTATTTATTCTGTATTAGCGCTACACTATTATTATTATTTTTATTATTTGCACATTTACTTATAAGGTTTAAGGTAGAGTGTTGGCCGCTTATCTACATATTGATCACCATATAGAAGCGCAGGAGGAACCCTATATTTATTCATGTATTATAACAAGTATTTTAAGCCTGCTATGGTCCTAACTCTGTTCATTTATGTTTTGCTTAGATGTATCAGGAGGTGTTCTCAGTGTGAAAAATGCTTCTCAGGAGTATAGTGGAACATACAGATGTACATCCCGAAATAGAGTTGGAACTGATGAGTGCTTGCTTATCCTCAATGTTGTTCCCCGTAAGTATTCCATTGGTGTTCTGTTCATAGAATAGACTAAGTTGGTTTCTTTCCATTTACTGGACACTCTACAATGCAGCCAAAAAAAGTCATTCACAGCTTTCAGGGTTGACCCATGCGTTCTGTTAGCACAAATCCAAAACGTTTTGATCAGTTAACCCTTCGCTGGTGCTACCAGGACCTATGCACAGGTTGGAACTTCTGTGCACCTGGTGAGCTGCCAAAACTTGCAATAACATATTACCTGACCACATTGTACACAGTGCACATGCCAAATCATGAGGGAGTACAGAAACAAATAAGACCATTATGGTCTTTAATGTATTTTTCTAAGGTGTTTCTCAAAATTTGTATTTATTTCGTAGCACATTCAGTTTAAAAATAAAAGGCAACTATATTTTTTTTTTCAAGTAGACTTTGAAAAGGTCCTTTTTTTTCTTCTAACTTCCTGTCACCTCAACAGTGCCAGGAAGGGAAGCATCTAACCAGCCACAGACAGTGATGAAAAGCTGATGGAGGTTCTATTCTATATAAACTCCATTAGCACTTCGTTATTTGCGATATATGAAAGGGACTTAAAGGGGATAGATATGTGTGTGTGTGTGCGTGTGTGTGTGTGTGTGTTTTGGCTGCAAATGTTATATTAACCGTTACAAGCTTGATGGCAAATTTGACAACATTTTTTCCTCCTCTGGCATCAGTTGGAACAAAGTGAACTGGTTATGTCGTGGGCTTCAAACTGGTTAAGAAATGTAATCGTTTTAGCGGTTTTGTTCCTTCCATGCCGGACATCACTTTACTCACTGGGCACACCACTGAGCCTGCACAGCTGCCTTCTAGGCCAGACTTGCTGCACATGCATGCGCTGTTTTGGGAAATGCATGCCATTTTGGGGCATATGCATGGGGCTGACTGACTTGGCCCCTCCTGCATTTTCCAGTAACTGCACCAACAATCCCTTGGGAAATGTCCCTAGCAGATCATAGGTGTAAAGGCTGTGGCCCTGGGGGTGCTGACAATTGGATAATAAGGCAGGGGTTGTCTGCAGCGAATATGTCAGTCCAGATTGCTGCCCTCTTAACCCCTTCTGGGGTGGCCTGATCCTCTGGTTTGTCGAGGAGAATTTTCTACCTCCGTCAGAACTGGTCAGCTCTCAGTCTGGTTAGATTATTCAGCCAGCAGGGACCACAAGCCCTCTACCTTTCCCAGAGACTCTCTCTCCATATTTTTTTTGACCTTTGCCCATCTAGACCCAGGCATTTCACATGCTTGGTCCTGATTTTTTTTTTCCAGGGGATTACAAACTAGAATTTTGTCCCTGCCTCCACCTCACTTTGTGTTGTCAAACTTGCCAACATCTCCACAGACATTGGCGGACATCCATGCTGCTGTGGAGCAGGTCCTCTTCCAAGGGGTCATAGCTATGGTGCCGGAGGGAGAGAGGTTTCAGGCTTTCTATTGCAACATCTATTTTACTGTCCCCAAAGCAATGAGAAGCATCTTTCCCATACTGAATCCAAGTTTCTCAATAGCTTTCTTTTATTTAAAAAATGATGTATGAAATCTGCCAGTTAGTCATTACTTTGCCCTTTCTGGACATCAGGGATGTGTACGTCCACATCCCATTTTCCTGGTGCATCTACTCCACCTGCGATTTACTGCGATTACCAATCTATGGCCCTCCCGTTTGGCCTGTCCACTGCTTCTTGTGTTGTCACTAAGGTGCTAACCCCTGTTCTTTCTCTGCTTTACTCTCCTGGCATCCACATTGTGGGGTAGCTTGATGGACGGCTTCTCTGTGTGGGTCCTAAATCTCAAGAAATTGGTGCTAAAACCCCATCATTTAAAAACTCCCTCTGAGGAAGTGTTATTTACACGAAACGCGTTAGGGAGGTGCCCCTGACCTGTGTACTCATATCACAAGGCTATCCTGACTGACACCCTGGTGGCCAGATTCGTTTCTGGATGTACGTTTATCCTTAAACTGTACATGCTGTTAGTTTTGCTTATTAAAGACATACTACACTATTAGAAGCTTCTCTGGGTCTCATCTATTGCATGGGAGCCCGCTTTTGAAGGTTCCTGTTGGTTTGGAGTGATGTGGGATTACCCCCTCCCCCGCTGATGATTTTTCTGGTGGATGATTTACGAATATACCTGGATTGATGACATCTGGTGGCCAACCTGCAGATGACATCCTCCTAATATCACAAGTCCAGAGCACCGGGAGCGGGTCTTAATTGCTCCATGCGCATCTCTTGCGCTATCTGGTTAGTGCATTATTTGTACAATCACGAGATCACAAGAGTCACGTTTATCTCTGACCATGGATTATCTGGACAATTGCACCTACCACTTTATCTCACCATGCGATATGGACTGAGTTCTTTCACATATGTTATAATGTCATTCATGTTCTGATTTTTCTACTTGTTCCTATTAATTTTATTAGCGCTGCATATCTTGTTTTTATATGTTCTCATTTGGGTTCCAAAGGTGACCTTTTATGCTAGGTGCTTTATTCCTACGTTCCCAGCGCTCTATTATCAACTTATACAAAACCCCATCATTGCTTGAGAATCTAGGAATCTAGGCCTGGTCCTGGATACAATCCCAGGATGACTTTCATTGGAAAAACTCCAGGCTCTCAATTTCCATGCTCATACTTTTTCTTTTTTTTCTGGCCACTCTTCCATAAAGCCCTGCTCTTTTGAATGTACAGCTTAAAGTGGTCCTGTGGACAGATCGATACTCATATCTCTGCTGTGGATCTTTGCAGCTACCTTAAACTTCAAACCTGTAGGCACATTGTGTATATTACACGGTGCAACGTCCCCAAAACTCCATTTAATTATATATTGTAATACAACAAACCAGAAAATGCACATTTACATTACATGCCACAGGTATTCCAAAAAGATTTTATAGGCAAGACAAAAATCTTTTTTTTCTCCCCCCCCCCCCCCCTCCCCTCATTTGGGTAGGAAATGTACTATAATTCATTTTTTACTGTAATATAATGAATAAGGCTGACATTAAGTGCTTCTGTTAATTTAAATTGTTTCCCCTGTTTAGCTGCAAACACAGCTGGGATTATCGCTGGAGCCATTATTGGGACATTACTCTTCCTTATTATTGTGGGCATTTTGGTCTTCTGTTGCTGCAGAAAACAAAAAGAAAAAAAAATATGAGAAGGAAATACAACATGAAATAAGGTGGGAATATCAATCTGTTTTATTGGCTGTTAGAAACCATGCATATACGGTGTTTAGATTTGGCTAGTACATAGAAATACATGGGTAACCCAATGTGGCCCAAGTATCAAGTTATGAAGCAGTATGTGACCAAGCCCCGGTGGGTGGGGTGAAACGCATCAGAGGCGTGGCCAGAGTGGTGGCTGAGGCCATTCCTCAACATTATACTCCTGGGGTAGGTTGAGAAGCATCCATCCCTTCACTTATGATGCAGTATGTATCATGGAGAAGGGTGTATGTTAGGGCCCCTTCACACCAAGTAACACAAAGTTATTTCAATACGCATGAATGCATGCAGCACAGTGTGATTCATTGTGAAGCCATTCCTTCTGCATAAAACCCCAATACACCTGCGCAATGTAGTGCACCACAATCCAAAGACCTAAACATTTATATACATCTTAACTCTGTATTTAAAGTGGTAGTAAACTCTGCTTTATGACTTGTACCTATAGGTACAGTGAATATCTCCTAAATATGTACCGTTTGAAAGATATATTTGTAGCAGCGGGTGACGTCACCGGCACGTGGGCACTTTGCACTGAATAGACGGCACGCCAGATTATGCCTTCCATTTAGAGTGCTGTGCCGTGACTGTGACTCGCATGCATGCATGGAAGTGACCTCATTGGAAGCTGGCCATTCAAACAGCTGCAGAGTGCGACCCCCAGAAGGGAAGACTGGGTGAAAATGGAAGAGGTGACAGTGCACCATTAGAGGGCTTAGTTTTAAGGTTAGTCTGTCATAATGTGCTAGTATGCGGTACATAAATTATGACTAAAACTGCCAAGGGCTCCATTTTATTTTATTATTTTTATTCCAGAACTTTGCTACTGCTTTAACTGCTTGCCTGGTGTTTTTTTTAAAATGATTGTATAGTGGGTTCTTATTTCCGTACACACAAACATATCAACTGACGTGGAGGAATAGGCTACATAGCAGATGTTGGTACTTTATTATGTTCTGTTTATGTGTGTCTTAAATTCATTGTACTCTTGCAGAGAGGACGTTGCTCCACCAAAAAGCCGGACTTCCACTGCTCGGAGCTATATAGGAAGCAATCACTCCTCACTGGGATCCTTGTCCCCATCAAACATGGATGGTTATTCAAAGGCCCGTTACAACCAGGTACCAAGTGAAGAGCATGAGCATCCAGCAAGCCAAAATCCAAGCTTCAACGCTCCCAAGGTAGCAGGTCCAAATCTTAGCAGAATGGGGGCCATTCCTGTCATGATTCCAGCACAGAGCAAAGATGGCTCAATAGTGTGAAAGGTTCATTGTGTATCCTGTATATGCAGGTGACACCACATCCATAAGACTTTCTTGGTTTTGTTCCTTCCCTGCACATTCCTTAAGGATCCACCACTGGCTGAGGTCACTTGTACATTCAGCTTAATAACTGGTTCTGCACAGCGGTTACTATTTCACTTATGTGCTTAGTCATATCATAAGAAAATCTATATATTTCAGGCAGAAAATCCATCGTTTTTTTAGCAGTTACTTGGGGGTAAGGGTATAAACACAAGCTGAAGTGCAGAAGATGTTGGCATGTCCCCATATTTCAGATTTCTTTGGAAGGTACCAGTCAAGTATTAGGCACTCTTGTATAGCTGTAAACTGATGAACTGTTGGATAAGTTGGTCATGTTTTTAGGAAAGCCACTGATTATGGCATGCATCCAAGTGCAGGAATGTCAGGCAATGCTTCAGTCTTTGTAATGTGTTTTTTTTTATTTATTATTTTGTTTCATTACTAATTAGTAGTGCATAATAAACAATTTGTGTGCAGTGTAGCACACATCGGGCATGAATCCAATTCTATATTAAGTTTGAGTAGCTTGCACAATGTAGTCAGCACATGCAAGGGCAGTTGTTTACTATAGCTACTCCTGTGTATGTATTATGAAGGCAGCTGTTGTCCCCTGGATTAGATGCAGATGATCCCTTGACAAGTGCAAATGGTACTTTTTCCCATGCCACCCACCTTTTCTTTCAAGATTGTTTTAAGTGCATTTCAATATTACGTAGAAGAGATAACTAGAAGACAAACTGTTGTCAGGAGTGGACGAGTATGTGTTTTTGTTTTTGGGGGGGGGGTTTGGGTTTTTTTTCTTTAACCACTCAGCTGAACAAAACATCCTGTAACTCTGTGTTTGCACAGGTCTGTATTGTGATCCAGTTGGCTATATCTGGGGGGGTTCCATCCTGATTGCCTAACCGCTGTTCTTGCAGGTAGATCTGTCATTGTGTAAAGTGTGGAGTGCTGGCATAAGGATTTGACTGCCCCATATATCTCCACTTGGCAGTCCCTTAACATTTATATTGGCTGCTTTCACGTCTTAGCTGCTCTGTGGGACCCTGGCCAGGATATCTTCTCCACCTCCAGGATTGGATCGTCATTAGACCTTAAAGGGAATCAATATTGGTATTGTACACGTTTTGTGTCATTTTAATTAGGACTAAAAAAAGGTTTACATTTCCTAGATATGACAAAGTGCTCCCTGTAAATTTGCCTGTCCCCGTGACTCTGTTTTTTGGTTTTGTAAAGCGCTGCCACTCATAAGAATCTTCTGCATCCAAACACATTTCAGTTTCTTGATCCCACTTTATGCGCTTTTTTCATCCGCCGCCTCCTACAGGACACAGTAGAGCCATAGCTGCCAGAGGGGGGACCAGGCAAACAAAACACTCAGAAGATTCTTTGGCAGTCTTCAAGAGAGTGAAGGTTAGGTTTGTGCAACAGACAAGTATAAAGTATTTTACAAGAAGAATCTTTCAGGTTTTTTTTTTCCTTAGGTCGTGACAGCATTGCTTTAAAATCGGGGAAATATGCATATTAATATTATGTAGTCCTCTATCTAAACAGCAGGTGTAGCTCGAGTCTCCTTTTTTCATGTCAATTTCAATTTTTTTTTTTTTTCAGCTGTGCTATAAGAAGCCTGTTATCTATAGAACATAAACTAAGAAAATAAGATTACATTTACCCAAAACCAATAGTTTCCCTTTAAATTAATTCTAGATGTCCTCAATTAGAGCATTCACTTGAGGATGAATGATATGGAAATGCTGCCATCTGCTTTCTAGTAAGAATTGCATCAGAATATATGGTACATTGACCAGGTGATGACAGATGCAGTAAAAGGCCAAGCCATGATCTCTCTGCCAGGGTTCCCTGGGGCGGGGGGCTGTAAGGTTGTGGCATGGATTTATTTTTCACTTGTCCCACTCATTCCAGATTGGAGAAATCTGTTTCAGGAGGAGTGATTCTTTAAGTCTTGTAAACCTTTTAAAATATTAGTCTATCAGAGCAAGTCTTAACTGTGGTTAAGTTTGTGGTATCATTAAGAATTAACAAAGTGCCATTGCAAGTGTTGGTCTAAGTTTCATCCTTGGATAGTCCTGTTGTGCTGCCATATGGATGGGTGCAGTACAGACCCATTTCACACCTGCTCCAGATTGCCCCGATGGTGCCTTTTATAAATCAAAAACCTTATGCAGGAATGTATCTCTGAAGACGCGTGTGCCTACATTTGTCTTTCTGAAGGTGCTTTAAATGTGAAGGCACTGACTGTCCTTTCTAACTACACTGAATGATTCAATGTTTCTATGTCATAGCCATCCTCGTACTCGAGTTAATGAGATACAGTGCAATATGACTAAATGTATTCTCCATTTATTGGGTTATAAGCCCGAGTATGACGATGAGCTTGCTGTATTTTTCTGCTTTATATTGACACGCTCCATCACGGCTATATAAGTCACTCACTGCATTGTATTTATGTTTCTAGGAATTATGCCGATTCCTTACATTACAGGCTAGTGTGTTAAAGGACCAATAAAATTTAAAGTCTGTGACCTTTCTGTAACAGAGCAATCGAAACCACTTATGACTACGGATGTTGTAAGCTGCTACAGCTGTAAAGATTTTCTACTATCAACAGACCTTTGATAAAGGGAGTTTCATGAGTTGGCCTTAAGGGCAGTTCAGTGGAATTAATAAGCAGTAGGACAGCTACGTTGAGGGTGGGCGATTTGCTCCCTCCACATTTTGGTCTTGTTTATCCAAAATGTACTTTTTTTTTTTTCCCCCAAATACATTTGTAAAACCTTTCAAACCTATGTTCCTGGAAACCTCAAATTATATGATCTAAACTCACCACTTGCATTTATTTGACCTTTTAATGGGGGTTTATTGGGGATTGTTTAAAGACACTAATTTTGCCTAATCGGAGCAAAGTGACAGTGTGTGCAGATAACCCCCCACCACCAGGTGGTGCCTAGCTGCTTTCCTTTGTCCCCTCTTGCTGCAGCATCCCAGCGGGTCTAAGCTCAGTTGTCAGGACTTAGGCAGCCCATAGATGATGCAGGTTTTTTTTTTTTTCCTTTTTCCTGCAACCTAGGGTTGCACATTACAAAATCGCTTGATTCACACATCAACACAGTGTAGATGGGGGAATCCCTCCCATGGAACAATTGGGTTTTCCCAGTGGGGACGCAGGGAGCCGTTCCTTCCAAGAGAACACAGCGATTTGTTGCTGGCATCTTTAGCTGCCTGCAATAATCACATACTAAAAATCCGATTATGCTGGTTGTACCCAGCTCTATCGAGAGACTGACTTGGGTACAATCAGCCTGGCCATAGATTTGTCAAATCTCAGCCAGTCCCTGCTGAACTGCTCATTTTTTATAAAGGGGAAGATTTTAGCGCAGTGGCAGTCGTGCGGATCTTTTTTTCCTATTTGTGTCTTACAGTACAGCAGCTGTGGATCGTACACCTGCCCAGTCGCTGAGATGGACTCCTAATTGGGCTGTAGCACTTTTTTTTTTTTTTTTTTTTTTTTTCTGGTGTTAAACCATCTATGGCCAGCTTTAGACGGGGGATGATGCCACAATCCACCCCCTCCCCACATGATAGTGTTCAGGCCTAGTTTTTGGCCGTGTAGGGTCAAGTATTGCAACATGGGAATGGTCATGTGCTCTGTTGGCTAGTTTCTCTGATGGAGAGGGAGGTGGCTTGGTAGCGTGGCTCAGTAAATGTAACCCCTTGGGGGATGGGCTGTCTGCAGACACTGGGTGAAAATGACAGTATCGCTTTAAGATCACACAGTGCACATTTAGGTATTTAACTTTGGTTTTTAAAAAGTTTTTCTTTTCTAGAACACATTCCATGTTGACCAGTCAGCAGCAGACTTAGTTTTCATTTGTTGCAGGAGTCACAGCTCCACCCCCTGGAATTGTCTTTAGAAGCTAGGGGTTGGACTGCATCCTTATGAACTAGGATTGTGGGGGACCATTGGCATATAAGTTGCACTTTCAGAAACCAATATATTGCATAAAATTAATAATTTTGCAATGGTAAAGAGCTGTATTCTTGAAGAACAAGGTTCTAGCTCCATAATTTGTTTCCTAATTTCTAATAAAATGAGAGTCCAAACTACCGTGTCCACTATGAGTATACTACAAATTAATTTTAGGGTTTCTTAAGTTATGTGATGGACCGTGTCAATATTACAAATGTTCTAAAATTCTAATTGGGTGGAAATGTGTGTTTTTTTTTGTCTAACGATTCCACTGTTTTAATTGCTAACAAATACATACCTGTTACAGATTTTCATTTCTATTGTTCACTGGCTAGTTTTTCAAAGTGTTGAATTGAGCCAAGACATATTTTACCCTCCCTCATATCTGATTGCTGACATCCCAAAGCGAAGAAAATGAAATCAATTTACTTTTATCTACTTTAATGCAATGATGAAATCCAATCAGTACATATCGAACATAATATGCCTTTTTAATACACCTTATCAGAATGGAACTTCTGGCGGTTGTGGTACAGCGGAGCTGGCCCTTTTTTAAAGGGGTTTCCTTCAGAAGGTCTGATTGAGCACAATTTAATTATCGCTTACCGTTTTTATATCTTCTTAATGAATTTGAACAACACACTCGTGTTCAGTTTTCTTTTTTATGTACACTAAGGGCTTTCAGACTTGTAATATTTTTCGTAGTTTTGTGAAACTTCTGTACTTTTTAAAATAAAAACTTACGGTGAAATCCAGACTTGTCTCTTTCAGCTTTTTGTCAGCAGTTTGATTTTCTGACTTAAATCTTTGAATTAAAACACTAACTGATTCTTCCTGATTCTTCCCTTCTGCTTAATATCTTTACAAATCAGATCATTTCCAGCTTTTGTCTGGATTACTATGTCTAAGAATTATTTCGATCAGGTAAAAATAAGTTACTTTTTCAGTGTATGGTTTCTAGTGAATGTAA